TTGTAATTTAAGTATGCTTCTGTCGAAAAATTTCCAAAGTAATCTTGTCCACCAAACCATGAAAACTAGTACAAATGTATCGGTCCACATCTATCCTATCAAGCAAGAAGATATGTACTTTAATATTATAGAAATAAAAGCTACAGTTCTACAAGACAATAAAGTCGGATCTATTAAGTATTTAGTTTTTAAACATACAGATGGCACATTTCATTTTATCGGTCGAAAAATCAAAGTTAAAATCCTTAAGCTGACATTAATATTATCTGCACAAACTCAAAATCGTTCCAGTAATATAGGGCAGTTTAGCGTTATAGCAAAATATTGATACAATTTTCTCAAAATATCGAAAAATTTCACTCTTACCCATAAGCTAACTCCAACATTATCTGTAGAAAACTTGTGAATGCATACCAAATGGCGCATAAAATCAAATGAAACGTAGTACCATAACACCGCTAAATACTTAATCATAGCCGTGAATACTAAGATCAGGTGGAATGAGTTTAGTTTTCTTAATAAGGAAAAAATGAGAACTAGAATTGAAATTATTAAATTTGTATGGCGTAGTGGGTAAGCAATCTGCTCTATCCACATACGATTAAATAGTTTTACACAAGGAAGTGCTTAAATCAATATAGAATTATGCGTGTATAAATGGTTATATTAATATGAATTCTACAACCCCTATGATTGAAGTGTTTATGAATTCATAAAGAGATAAAATGAGTTCACTAACTTCCATAATATAAAACCCAACTATGATATGATTAAATGTATATCAATGAAAATATAGATTGCTTCCAAATCGAATTAAAAGTAAGATTTTTAATTTTATTTAAGATTTGGAAAGCTCTTCTGATTTAGTTTGCAAATCCACACCATCGAATACTCCTTTTATCTCTCTATTTCATGATAGAGATTATAATAATGCAATAAAGACTATTAAAATAGTGAGATAAGCAATTTTTTTTTGTAAATGAATTTTAAGCAGAATATCCAATTTTTTTTAATTTATCTATATATTATATATGTATAGATAATGATTATATATCAGACCCCCATTAAATTCTAATCAGATTAGGTTGTTTTGCTTTAATTTTGCAAATATTAACTGTCATTTACTATTTCTTATCATTTTACTACATATCATCATCATTAACTATTCAAAATGACCATTTTTTTATGATTGTGTTAAGTCAAAAGATCAAGGAAAGTTGTTTAAGAGCACAATTTCAATATTAAATGGCTGATACCATATTAATCTCTTCATAGCTTTACTTACCATTTGGAAAAAAAAAACTTTTTTTAGAAAAAAAATTAAAACAATAACAATTAAAAATCAACTTATCTAAATTCAATTAACTTAGTTCCAGATTACGCTTTTATGATTATAGAAATAGAGACATGAAGTCAATTACCCTATAAGACTGAATCGAAAGCAAATGTTTTAATTTTCACATAGAATATTGTAAAGACATAGAATTATTGTTGTTGGAAGCAAAAGCGAATGGATGCTGTACTGTAAGAGTTGCACATATGAAATAATAAAAATTAACGAGGAAAAATCTGCATTTGAAATAAAACTTTTTAAAACAGCTGCGACATTCCCACATTAAATGCGACAAAAAAAATTTTTTTGACAAAAAAAGATAAAAAACATTCACTCACCCAAATGCAATTTGGACCACACGAGAAATAGCCAAATAAAAGAAAACCATAGAGAAAACACATCATTGTCCGCAAAAATGTCTTTTCGACTGTAAATAGATAAAAGGAATAAAATAAAAATAAGCTAAAAGCATAACGAAAGAAAATACTATTTCATGAAATTACAATAAAAGATTTTTTTTTGGCAAAAGTATAATAAAACCAAAAGGACAAATATACGCGTTATATATAAGTATATAAATGTATATATGTATTGATTGCATATATATGTAATTTGATTATATATATCAATGTATGGATTTGTGTGCGCTTAAAGCTACAATAGAGCTTAAAACGACAAGGAACACATTAGGGTAGTTAGCAACAAGAAAAGTTAAACCGAAAATGTTTAAGCTAACGACCAACACATACAATAATACAATAATACAACACATAACATTACAGCCATAAAGAAAATGTTATGTACATATGTAATTTACATATACACATGCACTTAAAAATGTTAGTATGTAATGTTAAAGCGTCTGTTATGCTGCTGAACTGAACAACTCATCTTTTTTTTATATTATTTTATTTAATTTTTGTTTCTTTTTTTTTTTTGTTTTGTTTTTTTGGTTAGAAGTCGTAGAAGTAAATTGGTGTAGCTTGTATGACTGGCATGTGTATTATATATAAATTGGCAAACACTATAAAAAAAAAACATTTGAAAAATAAAAGATATTAAACAGCAAATGCAATAACGTGGTTAGGGCAAAAAAAAAGCAACCATTTATTCCTGCTTGTACGTATTCAATCTTATGCGAAGCACGTTTTAATGTACTTTAAGCGACCAACTTTAGCTAAAAGAATACCAAAACAAAGCAAGGTTAATATCCCTTAGCTAGTTACTCGTTGAAACTATCGTAGAAACTCCTGAGTACAACACTGCATCGAGCTAAACGAACTTTTCTTGACACCGACACTCCGTTTTAACCAGTAACCAGCAAAAACCAACTAACAGACAATAACGAGCTATCAGTGCACTGTTAAGATGCACAGGCATAGCGAAACGTGGCAGTATTTTTGCTTTATTTTCATCATTACTTTTTGGAGTTTACAGTGAGCTTATGCATTATCCTTTGCTAAGAGAACGCAGGTGTACATCACATCAGCAATGTGAAAAACCATATTTGTACGTATCCAAATAGTAGCAAAATTGCAAATTTTTAATATCCTGCAAATGTTTTTACATATGTGCACCACGTCGTATGAGTTAATTTAAATTGATAATGACACTCACACTCTCGGAATTATAAAATATGTAGAAGTAAACGCAGCTGAAATTTTGTATCTGCAGCTTAATCGTTTTACGGTTATAAGAAATAATATTTGGCATCAAGTGAATAAAAATATATGCTGCAGATAATAATTCATTTTCAAAAATCTTTTTTGTAATAAATTCAAATTATATTTTTTTTATTTTTAATATTTGAAAAAAATTTTGTCTTAAATTTAAATAATGCTAAACCTTTTTAGTAATTCAAATAATTACAAAATACTACTTATAATATCTGTGCATTCATAATAATATAGAAAAAAGTAGAATATTAAAAAATATACTAGTTTCGAACGCAGAGTGTAGCAGATTTAAAACTAAACGACCAAGATTCGGTATTTTCTAAACTAGTAGAGATATTAAAATGAAATGATTCTTATATATAGTTCTTGAGATTTGCTTACTTTTGAATATATTTCGAGTATTGCAGTGGTTGAAGTGGGTGGTTTTGTATCTCCAATAATACTTATTATACTTTTTGAGAAATTTAAAAAAATAAAAATAAAAAAAAAATACAAAAAAAACTCAAATTCAAATTAAAATTCAGCAGAAAATTTACACAAATTTCGATATAAAAATTTTTAATATCAATATCTTTTTACATTTTTTTTTTAGTTATTTTTTTTTTGAATTTATTTATTTAAAAGTGCAGCCCTAGTAGATATTTTGTACTGGTTAACTAACCAACAGATGGACTCAGGTAGGGTGATTGCCTGTACTGTGTTTTCTTCTATTTAATGTTAAAAACGATAATTCGAGTAACAGATTTAAACCGTACTGACGCAATATTTTCCAAA